CCATCCCCTAACATGAAGCTCATAACTACACACTAAAGCAGTAGAGAATCTGAAAAATATAAAAGCTAAAACCTAAGGCACCACAGGTACAGCTGAAAACACCTCAAAACCAGACCAGAGAAAATTAATACAAACAAGCATGAAAGAGTGTCTCAAGTGAGGCTAAGGTGAGGCCTCACATGGCTGGGATAAGCAGCAACTTTAGAAAGGCTTAGCTTAGTGATAAAGTGTGACTCTATGATAAACAATCCTACTACCATCATCCTCCTCTGTGGAGAGGAAAAGCTTGTGCCCTGAAGCAGCACTCCTTTAACACCCACTGGTACCAGCACACTCACACAACAAGGATCCACCCAAGGGAAAGACACAATGGCCAACCAACCAAACCCCTGGTCCTGCTGAAACAGGGAAGGGGAATATCCTTGGCTGGTAATGTGCAAACCATCTACTGAAAACCAGGAGGACAAGACTCAGGAGAAGAGGAAGCAGAGGGACAGGCTACAGGTGACGGCCCGTGCTGAGCTGTGGAGTTCAGGAGAGCAAGGGCACTGCCACCATGGCTGGTGACTGCATCCAGTTCGTGAAGGGTGACAGGCCATGGTGGGCACGGGCCCTTCAGAAAGTAGAGAAGGTGACTGGTAAGGGACTAGAAAGTTAAACTCAGTAGAGAAATCAAACAAAAATTAACAGCAGGATGACTCAGGAAAACTTGACTAAAAATTTTATCAGCACTGGCAGCTAGCAAAAGAGCACCTGATTTCCAGGAAGAGATGAGTCCTGCAACCCCCCTCAGTGCAGTTGGCAGGACTTCTGTTTAGAGTTGCTGCCCCAGACAGAGAGGACTGGCTGTCCACTATTAACTGGCATTAGGGTAACTCAGGCAGATTCCCAGGCCCCTCTTCCCTCCTCTACACTCGACTGCAACAAGTGACTGCTGGACAGAGCAGTTTTCACGTGGTGCCACAGCACAGAGCCATTGAAATGCTGAGTGACTCAGAAAGGCAACAGCTTAAGACAAGCTGCTGAGACATCTCAGAACAGTGGCCCTCAGCTCTAATCTCCAAATCGCTCTGCACATAACCCCTTGACAAGAGAAAAGCACAGAAGTCCACCCTACTTTGGCTAATCAGATAAGTTCTCTATTTATCTGCAGCAGTAGGAGTAATCTCCAAGAGACTACTATATTTAGCTAAGATTCTTAGGGTCAACTTGTCTTCTTAGGTAGCTCCAAAGCTCAGCCCAGCACAAACCTGAGAGTACTTTCCTCTTGTAGGAGTGCACATCTATGTCACCCACAGATGAGGACACATGGCTCCAGAGAAACCTACACAGACTTGACAGCACATGAAAAGAGATTGTTTGCCTGTTAGTAAAGAAAGCGAGATTTGAAATTCCATCCTTTATACCTAAAGGATTTATTTTTCTCAGGGTTCTTGTTCTTTCTCTTCATCTTTTTAACGAAAGATGGGCAATTGGGAACCCACAGTCCTTCTGGAGTAGCCTAACTTATTTTAAAGTCCAAGGAAACTGGGAAGGGTGTTCAGTGATAAGCTCAAATCTCTCATGACTGTTCTGGAGCGGACACCTGGGCCTGAGGGATTCTAGCAAGGACCATAATTTATTTTTATTCCCTTTGTATCACCCTCAGTGTTTTAGTACCTGAATGCAGATCTGCCTCAATATGCTAAAATCCTTGGACTTGAGTTCATGTATGTATGGACTCTCTCTTAGCAGGAATGCTTCAGACTCAGAAGTAAAAATCCACACCCCCACAGGGCAAGCACTTTTCCCCAAAGCAGACTACAGCAGGCTGAATTTCTGCGTGGTTTTCCAGAAGGAAAAAACATGTAATATCACCTTAAAGAAAATTTACTGTAAAAAACAGTCTCTGGATAAGCTGTTCTAATATTTATTTTACTTCTTGGCTAGGAACTAATACCTCTGCTCAAAATTTAATTTGTACAACTTCAGCTTCCAGCCATAGGATTCTAATGAAGTCTTCATTATTATCAGGTTTACACTTAGTTCAGTTCACAGTGAGATTTTAAGCATTTTTAGAAATTACATCTTTGCTGTACCCTTAGGTATGTTGTTTCAAGGGGAAAAGAACACTCCACTATTAAAACAGTGCCCAGCACAAGAGAGAGAACATAGCTGAAAAACACATCAAGCACCAATGTCCTAAGGAGACATTTCCCTTCCTCCCAACTCCATCTGCATACTGCAAATGAGCTCAATTTGGAGCTTGTTCTCAACACCATGCACTCCCTATTGTAATAAAGGTGTTTTTCTTCTCCATTCATCTTAGTAAAGAGAAATCTCAAATACTTAAAAATTCAGTTCGGTTTAGTTCCATGAAAATGCTTTAAAATTCAAAGGGCAACCACAAAAGCTGTAGAAGTAGCATGCTGAGTGACCATCAGTCCTAACTCCAACCGAGCTACAACAAAAGTTGTACAGTTATAAATGCTTTACTAAGAGAACCTTTGAACCAAAAAATTTCAAGCTTGCATATTCAGTTTCAATGTAGAATTGGTGTCTAAGAATTCTGGTCTAAATTATTTGAATTAAGTTCAAATCAAAAAGTGGAAAATTTGAGAGAAGTAAGAACTGAGAGCCAAAGGGACTGGGGTTTTCAGTTGAACAGCATAAAGATTAATTTATTTTCCCAAGAAACAACCGCGTCTAAGATGCATAAACAAATCTGTTTAATTTACAATTAACCTACTAAATTATACAATTGGTTTATGTAAGTTCTTCCCAGTAGGATGAAAAGCCTCTCCTGTCTTTAATCTGATTACAATTAAAAGATTAAATTTAAAGTATTTTTCTAGTAGGTCTACTTGGGTTTGTATTTTAAAGTATTGTGCTGGGTGTCACAAACCTACAAACACAACTTCTTATTAAAAAAGTGGGCAAGAAGATTTGCTGATATAACTTGTATTTTCTGCCTTGTTCCTTCTGGAAGAAAAGCTGGCATTTAACGCATTTCACTGGAAAAAAAAAAAAAATCCCTAAAGCTACCTGTAGGGAAATTCATACCTGCTTAGACCAGCCAGGAACTTGGACCTTGAATCAAGGCTGCCATAGAACCAAGTAGGGATGTTAGCAGGAGCAGCAGTACCTCAAGGGAATCTGGTTTTGTAGACTCCATCCTTCATCCCAGGAACATCATGCCTTGGGATCAGAGGTAGCATTTGGAAGTCTTACGTTTTCCCTTCTGTTATTGGTAAGTTAAAATAAAGATTAACAGCAAAATCTTACCCATCTAAGGAAAGAAACACAGGCTCAAAAGTGAGATTTTATTCATATTTGTTACTTATGCACAACCCGAAGTATGATAAAACTGATAAAAACAGCCTAGAATAGTGTTTACATCACTAAATTCAATTCACATTTCGTCCATAAAATACCAAAAGGAAAATTGACAACATTGCAGGTTCAGAAAAACAGGTTGGCTACTATGACTGAAAAATCTACACTATCTTCACTGGTCACAACTGATTGCTTGTTTAATGCTTATTATTTAAAATAAGCTCAAATTACAAAATTTCAGACACACCCAACTTCTGTGCTCATAAAATATATCTTCTGTCATATCAAATTTCAATAGATTGGAAAGAATTTTCTGCTGAGACATTTAACTTCAGCATGTATCAAAAGAACATCGAGAGTGCTCTCACCACCTATGCAGTGATGTAACACTGAGGTCCCAGCTGCACCTTCAGCTACCTCTCCAAAGAACCATTTTGCAGGCCACTGTGCAAGCACACCGTGATGGTAAGGACAAGCCATGTCCCACACGGTGATGAAAGCCACCATCAGGCTACAGCCTAAATTCTGTCCTCCCTGGTGGACACACAGACCTCAGACTCCAGGACACAAAATAAAGCACACTTCAGCTCTGCATTTTAAGGCAAAGACAAAACCAGCTCCACCTGGGACAGAGATCAGCAAGTACCTTCAGCTGCCCCTGGTTTACAAGAGCTGTGGTTGCTCACCCCTACGCAGAGATTGGTCACACTTTGTCATACTTTGTGTGATAAATTCTTACACCGGCCCTGAGGCAGCATATTATCCCTCTACCATAAAGGCAGCCACCACAGATTGCAAAATCATATGCAGATTAAACAGCAATGCAGTAGCCAACAGTTTGCATGCAAACATCATGTTAGACTGTTACATTCTCAGGACTAAAACTGTTAATGGTGTAAACACAGGTTAGATAATCACCTTCCATTTCTCTTATTATTTTACATACTTCTTTTAACAGATGGGGGTGCCTCACAGAACAAAGGAGGTTTACCAAATGTTAGACCTGGAATTACAGAGACTTCTGTTACAAAGATTAAAACTGTAATCTAGTAAGGAAAGAAATCTTCCCCTGCTATGAAGAAAATTTAAAAGCCTCATTAGGCAGAGAAGCAGCCTGACTCTTGGTCCAGAAAAGAAAAAAAACAAAACAAACCAAACCATTTTAATACCGTATGGCTGATAAAAAAATGGAAAACAAGGAAAACAGGGACAGTCAAAGCAGGCTTTATGGCAGCAACTATGCCTAGGAAAGGACCAAGAAAGTGAGTGTATATGTATATATGGCACAGTACCTCATCAGCCATCAAAACTGCTCTAACTGCCCCTGTTTTATCCATGGGATGTACTGGGAAAGAAATACATTCAAAGTAAGAGTTCTGAGTCAATGTGCTACACAATTACACATGTACAAATCAACAACAACAGAACTTATTTACACACATTTATACCTACAGGCATAAAGACCAAGTTTAATACTTGTGAAATGTATCTGATTGCTAGATCCAAACTCTAGCAATAACAATAGCATTTCTGCACTGTAACAGCCACAGGGTTTCCATCAGGACTATCCTGCATCCAGTTGATCTTATATTAAGACTGAAAAGCTCTACAGGTATTTTCATTTCCATTTATAACACAGACATGCATCTGCTACCCAGTAGAGACCCTCCCAACACTCTTCCCAACAAGCAGCCAGCAACTTAGAGCTGGTACGGTTACAGACATATCTGTCTGCTCGCCAAATGTTCTTTTTGGATCATGTGGGGTCATTCTTCAAAGTATACATTTCAACATCTGCTACATTTTTAAGATAAAAAGGAAGATAGTACAAAATCAATTCTGTATGCATAAAAACTTAAGCCCAGAAGTGGTTAAAAATAGACTAAGGTGGGCATAATTAGTACCTAATAAAAAAGCTAAAAGTCACATTTATGGAACTCAACACTTCACTCAGCCATACAGTTAGCTGCCCTCAAAGACTAACAACCAGACCAATTCACAAGTATCTAAGTTGCTTACATAATTAAAAGAATAAGATGTAAAGTCAAAAAAATATATTTTATCCCTTCAAGAACAGGAAAGTAAAATAAAATGCTGGTTCTGTAACAGTGCAACAACTGCATCATATTTTGCACGCAGCACAAGAGTTGCTACATTTAGTGGCACTTAAGTATTATGCTGTAAATACTGAAAGTAAGACAAGTTTCTGATCTGCATAAGCATAATCACATCATTATTACCAGAGTTGCTAAGCTACAGCATTCTGAATAATACCAATTCAATTTCAGCACTTCCCTCACTAGCCTTAATACATGTCAACGTCCTGCTTTACACCTTGCTAAGAAAGCAATCACTGAAGCCAAGTATTTAATGCAGTTGCCAGCAGGCCTGGGCCACGTTCAGTCTGACCAGTCGTTCTCGTCAAACTCGGAGTCGTCGTCGGAGTCGCTGTACTCCACGGCGATGCGCCGCGACAGGATGGTGGCCACGTCGTTGCCAACGGGCTCGCGCTTCGCCTCCTGCTCTCGCTGCTCCTGCACCTTCTTCAGCTGAATTCCTGCAGAGACAATCACCCTCAGGCAAAGCTTTCCAGGCAAGAGAGTTCGTGTTTGACACTGTGGTTGGTGAGTTTGTTGTGTCTTAGAAAATACTCAGGAAAAAAAGAAAGCAAGCATTGAGAGAAGAGAGCCTCCTTGAGCAAGGAAGAGGGAAAGACAAAAAAGGCAGCTGGGAAATAATTCTCAGAGACTGAATACTTCTGGACTTCTAAAACTGTCAACAATATGCTGAAGCTAAATATTCAAGACTGTACAGGTCATTTTGATCTGTATTTGGAAATACTGTTAGACCTACAGCTCCATATTGTAAGTGATGTCAGGAAGAGCTGTAAGTCACTGGTTAAAAAAAATCAGTGGGCCAAAGCCTGGTGTTGGGCAATTCAGTTCTTTGGAACAGAAGCAAAAATCCATGTACAGTACTAGCACTTCACATAATGAACACAAGTGCTGTGTTCATTAAATTATGTCCACACAGCAACACTAGGACATGGTTGACAAAGCTGTGCAGCTTTAGGTGCTAGAAAATGATCCAACCTCATGGCTGACAAATGTCAGAACAGGTGTGTGGTACCTGTGCTTAATGAAATCTTCCCAGCTGGGAAAAGAAGCCATAAACTCATTGCAGTGGAAAACACTGTGCTCCCACTGAAAGAAAGGAATACCTAAACCCAGTGTGCACTTACCCATCCTGATGGCAGCCAGCAGATCGCTCCGCGCATCGCTCATCGGGGCCTGCTTCGCCTCCGACGCCGGAGGGGCGTGCATGGGGGAGGAAGAGAGGGATGCACCTGCAGCAGGAGGGCCTGGAGGGGGAGGAGGTGGGCCGGGAGGAGGAGGAGCAGTGACAACAAGCCCACCAGCAGGAGGAGGATGAGCAGCTGCATATGTAGAGCCAGTCACCAGTCCGGAATGGGAAGGTGGCACAGGAAGCTGAAGAGGACTAACAAATGCAGTTTGTGCTGAAGGAATCATAGGAGGGGGAGGAGGTGGGGGCGGACCTGTGGGGTTGTAATAATCCACCATCTGAGCTGGGAGCATCCTATATAAAACAGAACAAAAACATTTAATGCATTCAAAGTCGGAACTTCTAAAATTATTGCCCCTTCAAGTGCACTTATCCAACCTCAGATAAAACAAAAATCAAAGGCTATTTAAACTGGTGACTTAATTATGCAAGTGATTATACATGTAAGAATTGTCAAATATTGCTGATATATTGAGATTTAAGACAAATATTGAAGTTAAAAGCAATGTCCTTTCAGCACTCGACAAATTGAGCTTCTTTATCTTAGTTCTCCTGCCCATTTAAGTATGAAGCTGCATTTCTTATTAAACATCTAGTCTGTGGGACTGCAAAGTGCAAAGTCATTGAAGAAGAAGGGACCAAGAAAACTGCAGACTACACCCTTCAATTCCATAGAAGGCCAAGAGGTAACAGAGGACACAGACATGGAGAACAATGGAAAGAAGGAAAGATTTACCCAAAGGTAAATGTATGTCATGTGCTTCTGCGGTCAAATTTATCAGTTTAAATACCATTTAATTAAATTGATACATTTGATAAATTTTTTAAATCAGAGGTACAGGGAAGAGCTCATTTCTTCGTTAAAATGTCATTGAAAGAAATCTTAATCAGAAAAAAATAGAGAATTTATAAGAGTTGTGAAGTATGTAAAGAACTAGATACAGGAGATAGGAACTGAAGCAAAGAGACTGATGACACTGAGTGACACATGCCAGTGTGTGACAACTGCAACATCCCAACAATGGTCATGGACCTGAGGGCTAAGCACAGTGGTATCTTACACACTGGAAACAACAGAGAAAGGGCAGGCTGGAGCAGTCCCTCCTAACTGAGTCATCTGCAGCACGATAGCCATGAATCAGGCAAAGGCTATCCCAGGCTGCATCAAGCAAGGATGACAAACCTTGGCTTGCATAGTAAAAAACAACACAGGCAAGAATGACTACAACTTCCTGGGTTACAACTTGAAAGTTTAAGCTATTTACACAAAAGAACAGACACAGAGACACAGACATATTGGAAAACAGATGTTTTCTTGCTACAGGAGAACCAGAACTCTGGAGCAAGCCTTCCTTCAGAATGCATTCAGGCAAAATATCTACACAGGCATTTGATAAATCTCCGTCTTGAATTAAAAAGTGGCATTCCTCCTGTGACAGTATGGAATTTGTGTCTGAGGAGACCCCTCCCAATTCCATTACAAGCTTCTCTAAAAAGGCCTTTCAGGGATTTCAGGGATGCAACAAACACTGCCAGATTAATCACAATCACCAATACTCTTTCTGCACATTTCCTGAAGTTTAAAATCTTATCCAAATTATCCCATAACTACTTTCCACTTTATAGGAAAATTATCCCTTCTTCAATATTATATTAGGCACCCTTAATATTTTACAATCATATGACTTCACCAATACACACTTCATTTAATACAGACGTGGTTATTTCTGCTTTCACTATTTCTTCACTTAAATTCAGTCCATACATAGAAATTATACCAATTTTCTTCTGTCCTCCCCAAGGAGGTAACTAATGTATTTGGGGTCTTTCTCCGTTACACGTTACGATGGTTACGGAAAACATGCATCCCTCTGGTTTTGCCAAGAATCCACTAGAATAAATCAGACTTACCCATATTCTGCTGGTACCACAGGTACTGAGCTGTGCTGGCCATCTGAAGGCTGGGGTGGAGGTGGAGGTGGTTGCTGAGGTCTGTTTAAAGTGGCATGTCGTACCGTGGTGGAGGGCGGTCTGTACTCGTGCTCGTGGCTTTGGGATGCTGCCATGTACTGTGGACCATCTCCTGCTCCATAGGAAGGCATTGCTATCTGCTGATGGAGGGAATGATTCGGAGTAGCAGGATAAGAATAATCTGTAACATCGGATGCATGGGACCTAAAATTAAAGTAAATTGATGCAGAAGAACAGATTATGTGAGTGCAACAGGGCATTACCTAAATAACTGACAAAACAAGCAAAAAAGAATACAATCAGCATTATTTGTCTTGCAAGAGGATTCCCCGATTTATCAGTTATCACTCCCTTTTAAGTCCACAGAAAGCACAAGAATTTTAGTAGCCATAATGAAGCTTATGGTTTTTGTCAATGATTTTGACAGTCCATTGTTTGAAATGGCAATACTTACCAGCCTGCCTCAGGTTAACAGTGGCAGCAGAAAAAGAAAAGCAATACTACAAGCACTTGCAATTATGCAGAAGAACAAACTTTACCAATGCAGAGAAAACCAATTTTGAAAGTTAGAAAATGCTTTTTATTTTGTTTGCACAATTAATTTTGTTGGAAAGGCTTAAAGAAACTGGGAAATGTAAGTATTAGTTGAGCAGAGAGTTCATAAAGATACAAAGTCTAGGATGTTCTGTCAAATAAGCCCAAGAGAGGGAGCAAAAGGATCTTTTCATCCCATTACTGTGAAGACTTGTTTTAGTAATGAACAATGGTGCAGCCTGGCTTTTAGTGAACACAGTGAACTGATGCACTTATCTGTGAGACTGGAAGCAAGGTAAGCAACAAAAAGCCAGGGCTTTGAGCAAAACAAAATAACAAACCCTTTGGGCATTTTGTCCTCTTTCATGCTTCCTGCCTGTTCCATTTTCTTTGCGTCACTCATGAACTCAATGCCCATTTTCCTTCTCTCCCACTCTTCTTTTCTTGTTCTTACTTTTCTCACATTAATTTGCTGGTTTCTGTTTGGATTCAGCTTGTGTTTCTCTCTCTAAAGTACAATAAGTATAACAAATACATTGTAAATTGCTACAGACCAAACATCAGGATGTCAACATTTAATGCTTAAGTCTTACAAGTACCAAATGTGAATATATGTGACCAATTTTTTTTTACTTTAGCACTAGGAAAAAAAAGACAGTATAACCAAATACATTTATTTGGGATCAGACTTACAGGACACTGCTCATGCAGTAGCTGGCAGCATGAAAAGGTCTCTCAAACCAGTACACATTTCTCTATGTATGGATTTTTTATAGCTTAAGATTACTCCAAGGTGAAAAAATAGAAAGCCCTCTCTCCACCTCACATTCTCAGAATTAATGCTTCATGGATGTAAAACAGATTTCAGGATTCAATGTCAGATATTTGATTCACTGAAATGTAAAATATTCCATAATTTATAAAATATTGTAAGTAAGGCATATGTAAGTACAAGGTATCTGTCACACAAACAACATCAAAACAGAGGCATCCTACAATTTCTGCTTTAAAAAAATCCCACAGATTGCAAATACCACATATCTGCAAACAGCCAAATACATGTTGACATTGCTGGGAGATAAAAACAAGTAACTTCAATATGATAATTTAAACTCAGGAATCCTGGAAGCAAGGAGTTAAATCTGAAAAAAAATACTCAAAAGGTGTGAAATAGAAGTTCTGATGAAAAAATCCACAGCTTTTGCTACATCAACCTATGTAAAGCTTTGTCAGTCTGCAGTGTTTCATTAAGACCAACAGGAGACAAAGTTTTGCATTAGAAACTGTAAAATAAAACTAAACGAACAACAGTTTTTAGGCAGTGAGGGAGTCTGAATAAGTAACTGAAAGACCAATAGCAATATCAAATACTATGTTTCAATTACAAGTTCATTACTTTTCACAAAGACCACAACATTGCAAAGTTCTGAGCAGATTTCTTTTCTTTTAAATTAATCTCCACTGTACAGTGGGCTAAAGGTATCATTCCACACTCTTGCAGTGGTAGCTGCTTTCTCAACCTAGCCATTCACCAATTTAAACACTTTTTCCAGTGGACCCCATTTATTTCAATGCTTATTGCTTGTACTTAATCACAACAGACACAGGAAATAAAGTAAGTGGGAAAATCCTCTGGTGAGACCAGCTTAGTGCAAAAACTAAGACTTCATTGCACATCAGGTAGCTCCCACTGAGCTCAAAGGGAATCTCAGTCTCAATGAAGACGAATTCTGCTGCACTATCTCTAAGCAGAGATATTTTGTTATTTCAAGCAGTAACATCTCATCTGGTTTTGTAGCTTGGTTTTTTGACTAATACAACATCAAAAAGCTGAACTCTTCCCCCATTGAAGTATTCCTTAAAGGCAACAGTATTCTTGACTGAGTAGATCACAGAAAAATATTTATTAAGCTACCAGCAGGGCACCAAACAACAGACTAGACACTAAGGAAGAGCTACTGACATTATCTAGAAGAGGCTTAAATGCTTTGTAACTACAGCTACTGAAGATAAAATACAAAGCATACAGCAAACACTTCGGTCTCTGCAGTACATAACATTAAGATGACAAAATGCTCATGTGAAGCTGAGGAAGAAAAAAATCATTACAGAATCTGTTATGTCATTTATGCTTAAAAGTAAATTTGAAAAGAATGTTTTAAACATGCATTGTATGTTGAGTCTAACTATTCCCATCCTGTAAAAACAGCTAATTCTACTCAGTATTGCTGAACATACAACTGTGGTAGAACAAACAGCTTTGCTGTAAACAGACCTAGTATCTGGGGACAGTGATCCCTCGGAAGATGCTCCATGGTACACACTTTGAGACAACCTGTTGTCAGGTCTAAGCTCTTTGTCATATGCCATCATATTCCACTCCTGGCGTCTGTTCCTGGCTTTTCTAACCTTTTTCACCTCACGGGTGGTGCCATCTATACGCTTTTGCTCCTAATGTCCAAACAAAAGAAATAAAGCATGCAAAGAGAGAGAAAAAAGGAAAGGAAAAAAGCTGGTTAAAATGCAGTTAGAGTGCATGAAAATAAGACCAGATTTACAGATGAAGCCAAGTCTTCATAAAATTTCTCTGCACTAAAATAACCTCATTAGTAGCAGGACTTTTGATCTGTAAGGATGCATGCGCTACTGTGATGCCAATCTCCTGGTTTTCCTAATACAGAAATGGGACCAATTTTAAAAGCCAGAAAGTTGAACTTCTTCTGACATCACTTCTGGTCTTCAACTTACACCATCCTGAAGCACTTGTAATTTTCATCTCCTGAAAATCAAACTTCAGAGAATGTAAAATAAGCTCAGGCTATTCTGGTTATTCATTATGGTCACAATGAACTGGGCCAGGGGAAGTATGGAGAAACTGGACACACTTTCCTATTCCATAGGCTATGTGAAATTATTTTTGTTGGTTTTAACTTTCTCTCCCTTCTTAGATCTAATTAACTACCAAAATTCCTCCTAGTTTCTTCTCACCATTGATATAAAAATGAATTGCACTAATTCTCTCTGCAGTGAGTCGGCAATACTCAGGCCAGCAGTATATTACAGCTTGATAGGTCCATGACAAACTTGGGTGCTTTTATCTTTCAATAAATATAACAACAGGCTCAACCAATGTCAGTGTTTATCATACCTATTTATCTTTACCTCACTGACAGCAAGATTTCCTAATATTGGGACCTAATGCTTTCACACCTTGGAAATGTTGTATTCACCTACTTCTGACTACTCAGGATGAATATAAAACTCATACTGGTGCTTCTGCACAAAATATGAATAAGATTGCTCAATTCAGACAGAGAAGGGTCTGCTACTCCTTTTCTCAGTATTTATGAGAGCATAGGGGTCTTTTTTCAATCAGCTCTAGATCCTACATCTTAGAATATATGGTGTTAGGCTTTTGACTGCTAGAAAAATAGTTTCTCAGAAAATAATTATATTGCTATACTGAGAATGCAGTGAGTGAGTTATACTGAGAGAAGAGCTTGGTCAAATTCTGGTAGGCAAGCCTTCTACTGGGGAATCTAGACCCATAAAATAAGGGATAATAGTTGGAAAGCCAGTTTAACAAAAAGTCCATCACAGATGAACACAGGTTTTTTACTCCAACTGTCAAACAGCACCAAGTAAATAATTCTGAAATAATGTGTCTGGCATTACATAACTAACAAAAACCTAACAAATGGCTTCCTTGTCCTTGTTTTGGATCTCTTGCTCATTCATGCATATTTGCATGAGGGACCTGCTGACCCTCCTACCATTCAGAATGTCAGAAAAGACTTCTTGAAGTTCAACACCCAAATGTTTTGACAACTCCTGCTTATTTCTACAGTAAACAGATTTTTGGTCTGATTTATGTTTAATAACAATGATCATTTTGGTTCTTAATCAGTTCTCCCCAAGTATTTTTCCTCCACAAACTTTTTCGAGTCACACCCTTTTTGTCTGATAACCACTTTTTCACATCAAATTCTGCCAAGAGAGGATTTGGAGCAGAAAGGACACAGATTTAGTCACACTTTATTTTAAATATATATAGTTTTGCTAATTGCCATGGTTGAATATATGTTTATTAAAAGCTTTTCATCTGTCTTTTTCAATTATTTGCTGTAAATATTTTGGGTTTTTTTAATTTTTGACTTTTATCCTCGTTCCTGAGTCATGTTATATTTCAGAAGAAAGATCAAGTAAGCATTTTCAATGAAAACACTTTGTTTTGTCTTCTTTCAGAACAACAATTTGCCATCTGGGGGTCACAACTATATATTTCTTGCAAGATTCTAAGTAAAATAAATATTCACCTTTTGACCAATATATGATGCTACTAGGAAGACAATCATTTTGATACAATTCCTGTACAATCATGACTGCATACATGACTGCTTACAGTTACTGCTTATTATTTAGACATTTAAAGAGATCAGCTTTTTTTTATGGAAAACAAAAGTTTATAAAAAGTTTTTAAAAGTTTAAAAAGTTTAAAAAATGTTTATACATGTGGATGTGTAAACACCAAAAAATAAGCACAAAGCTTAGCTGGTTTTAATTGGATCAGATTTCAGCTGGCCAGGTTGTTCCAGATCAGCATCTGTAAGCATGCTAATGAATAAATACACTTGAATCCTTTTTACTCAAACAGTACTAAACCCTACTGGTAGCAATATTTTTATTAAATATTATATCAATACATCTCTGAAACATTAAATGTCTTCCAAAACAGTGGGGCAGCCAGCCCTATTAGTAGCAGCTGACAAAGCTACATGTACCTCTAAGAGTAGTTTTAAGTTGTTTCAGTAGCAGTTTCATTCCCTTGATAATGGAGACAGCTCTAGCTTTACAACCCAGGGCAAAGATGACAGACTTGTAGGGGAGCTAAAGCCTTTATAGATAATTACAGCTGGAAATATTTCTCAGAAAAATTAAAGCAATATTCAGAGGAGTTACTTTTTTTTTTAACTAGCTGTAATAGAAGCTGTGGCAGACAAGTGGGTGCTGTAGATTAGGCCAGAAAACAAGTCATTCATGTTGGCAGCAAATTATTTCAGCAAACACAAAACATATTACAGCCTTCAAACAGGGTTGAGTTAATTGTAAGTTTGATATTTGCATCAAGAATTAGCAAATGATATTTCAAGCATCTGAATAAAGAATTAAGAGCCAGTGATAAAAAAGCAGCTTCAGCAAGTATTTGCAATACTTTCAAAAAACTGAAAGCACAAGCCTAGAGTATTTTCCTCACCACAAATTTATAAAATCCTATCAAAACACAAGTAATCAAGAATGATTTCTGAAATATAAGCTTTCCAAATTTAGAAATTTTTACTTGCTTGAATAGCTAATTATTCCCAGATAAAAAGCCAGCACAATAAAGAGGAAATTCTAACAGTTTATCCTTTGTTTAATCACAACTGCCCTACCTACAGCCATTCAATATAAAATACTATTGGTATGTACCAAGTCAAAACTACACTGAACTCTCAGACACTGATCTACAGAAAGAAAAAAAAAATAGACTACACAGATTTTAAACTTAAAGAATTAAAATTACATTTTTCTTCAGTAAAAGTTTGCCTGAAAGAGTCAAATCAGAGGAAGCCTGTCAGATATTTTCAATTAAACTGTATACAGAAATAAAAAGCATGATATTTGAGGGAAGAAAATTAAACAGCTCATAAACCTCCTGCTGCAACAGCGTGAGCACTTCGGGCAAATTATCAAAATAATACTGAAAAACTGATTCTCTGGTGCAGGGACTACTCTCAGATTTCACTGAGCACCTAAAAAATTGAGGCTAAAAATTAGCTGTATTTGGTCAGCTGAGTAGGATGGCATTTAGGTGTCTAGCTTGTACTTTGGTAAACAATAAACATTTATTTCACCTGCACAGTTTCTCAACAACTATCAAGTTTTGTGCTTCTGTAGAGCACAAATTGAGCAAAGAACTCTCATTTAATAGACTGAAAATTAAGGTTCAGCTATCGAATTGTCAATAAATGCTCTGGATTCATTCCTGGTTACTGCAAACATAAGGACAAGAATAAAAGAGAAAGGACATTTGGTTCAGCAACCTGTGGAACAAAGTGTGCCTGGGACACATCTCACCCAAATCATCTTGCTCTCCAAAGGACACAGATGATGAAATGCATGAAAATCATCTTCTGGAAAGCTAAACCTGAGATTTCTTCCCTTCACAAACTGAACTTTATCCATGGAAACTCAAGTCTATGCTGCTTTCTTCTTAGTTGGACTTGGCATATATTTAACCAAATAAAATAGTACTTCAGCTAGAATTTATCAAGGGGTATTTCTGTGATGTATGGCTATAATACTACATGACTGGAATTGAGCATATTTGCATTTGTAGACTGTAATAAGACAATTAAAATCTACAGAAAATATACCATGGATGGAAATAAGCAGGATGTGTTGCCTAAGCTGAAGTCTAAAAGTATCTTACAAATATTTAAAGTAGTTTTGTAGAAATTGTTCTACAGGAATAAAGAAATGCTCAAGTGATCTTTTAAATTCTTATAAAGGCACCTGTATTTTTTCCTTTAAAATCAGAATGGAAAGAATGGGACACTAGAATGGAAAAAACTCTAATTCAAATTCCTTTCGTCTCCCATTACAGGGCCTTTTCCTGGAGCATAACAGGGCCATTTTTCTGGTTATCAATAAACAGATATTGGCAAAGGATTCAAAACAGCATCTTGGAAGATAACCACAGCACTCCTAAAATTCAATTTGCTGCCTTCTTAAAATAGACAGGATAAGCTATAAAAATGGAATGTACTGAATCTAAGCCACACAAGAGGAACAATCTTCCCATGCACACAAACTAAGTATGACCTGGGAATTTTTATGCCTGGACAACTGCACATAAAATTGTAATGCACAAATTGTTTGTGCTATTATGTTTCTGTTTTTACCTTTTGTCTCCTCTTTTCTTTTCGCTTATCTTCAGTATCCTGTAACATTTTTTCTTTCCAAAGATCAAAAAAATAGGAAGGATCGGTATAGAACTTCAATCCATCTTTCTTATCATCCCTGGAAAAGCAGCAGAAGAAAAGATAAAAATACATGAACTAGTGTGCTTTAAATCTAAAAAATTCACCTTTGATGATCATCCAAGCCTCAAGCTGATCAATAACAACCCTTACTAACATGAGGTCCATAAACAAATACCAGCACTGTCTGCAGCAGCAGCAAAAACACATCCCTTGGTCATAAATCCTACACATTCACATTTCAGTTAAAACTCCTTATTCTTAAAAATAAAATACACTGCAAATGCTGTGCTATACCATTCTTAAAAAAGAAATAAATTATTTATTGCAGATTGAGTTTTATCAATCTTGAAAAATCAAATCTCAATAATCAATATAGCTTTTCCCCTCTGCTGTAATTATTCTCTGCATACAGTTAGGAAATAAAGGGTCAAGTACAAGAAGGTAAACAATCAATATTTCCTTACCTATAAGGTGAAAGAATATTCAGAGGTGGTGGTTTGTCACTTTGATTATAAATATCAGCCACTGGGTTAGGAATGCTGTTCTTTGAAACTACCTGCTGGTCTTGAACTGTTGAGCTCTTGAATGCTTTTTTCATGTTGATGTCCTGTAAGGATACTGTTAGAAACAGAAACACATTTACTACAAGTCTGAAAGGAATTAAAGTGGATACACAACATTCTTTTTTCACTAACTATTTGAAATATTTTCAGCATGTTAACACAAAGACAGGTTTTCCTCAGTGGATAATTCTGATAACTAGGCACAAAGGCATGTAAGAATTCCCATAATAAAACAGATGTTAGTCTCACTTGGTCCAGAACCTCACCTAAAATAATGGGACCATGGACTGTATCTTGGAAAATGATGCAAGAATGCTGTCACATGCAGATGCCCAACCATTTCCCCTTTTTATAGGCTTTATCCTGGAGTTCTAACAGCAGAAAGACTGGCTTCAAGACTGAAACAAGGTATGGTATTCCTCTGACACAGAGTGTTTTATAATTGTACGTGCTATCTATACACATATTCCAGCCCATTCTAAGTATAATTAAATTACAGCTGCAACAATCTCCTGTGATAGACAGAGTTCCTCTTATTTTACTCTCTTTCAACTCCTATGTCTTCCCATGTAACTAAACACTCCTTGCTCTTATGTTTTGCTTATGTCTCTACAGAGAGAAATACTTGCACTCTCGTACTTTCATTTTATCTTTTCACACACGCAGCTCTGAGGAAAATGACACCAGGTTTTTCATTCTTTCTTTTCAAATGAAAGGCTGAAGTTGGCTTTAATTGTTCCTGTCACTTTTATCAAGGCTTTCTTTCACTCTTAATACAAGTTTTCATGAAATGCAGCAATCATTGTTAAAGAAGATCCAGTTAAAGGCCAATCACAATTTAAAAGTGACAGTAAGCTCTTGATATCATCTTCCACCCCTCAGCACCCTGAAATACAGGTTTTAGAATGAAGTTGAAGAGGATGCTGAAGTCTTCACTAGGTTCTCTACAACGACACTGACGACTTCTGGATTTAATCCAAGTGTTTTATAGGAGGGTAAGCTGCAGGACTTGTGCAAACAAAATACACTGGCTTAGTCTCCTTTTATTCCCATTGATATTTCATCTAATACTTCTTGCCCATTCATCCAATTTATTGAGTCTCAAGGACAAACTGTGAGAAAATTCACAAGGCAAATGAACAGTAATGGCCAAAAATGCAGTATACTGATGACCTGAAAAAAGACAAAGGGATGAAATTTTACACTGTTATTGTCTGTCATGATGGACACCCATCCCACTCAAACTTCTCTGCCCAACTATTTTTGTTATCTGTGCTGAGGTCTTGCTTCTCACTCCAAGAATTACTTAGTTTCTTCTGGAACTTCTACAATAACAAAAAATTAAAAATGTATACAGTGCAAATGTATAGCATTTGCAAATAGCAAAAAATTAAAAATAGAATATTTCATGTCTAATACTCATTCTCCCATTCACATCATCTGAATCAAAATGTAATTTCTAAAAGTACTTTCTATTTAAATCTGCCTGTAAGTAAAAGGTATTTCAGACAGATTTTTTAGATGTATATATCTGAATTGTTTCATTCTTGTTTGATGGGAGACATTCAAAGAATCAAAAAAGCCCCACCATTTTTCTGGAGATTTTTGGAATAAGTTATTTATATCTATTTTTAAAACTTTACCACAATTATTTTTAAATGTTTTTTCAACTGTAGTTTTTTATATATAAAATATTTTTATATACACTGTATTAGTTATATCTAAGAATATAAGAAATCACTGATGCAATCAAATCTGAAGGGCTTTTTTAAACAACCTTGCAATTGACATTTTGCTTAAATGCCAAAGCTATCCAGAAACATACTATTTCTGACAGTACAATGAATTATTATCAAGACTTCAACTCCTACAGTGAAACAGCTAATAAAATTTATTACTGACACTAAGGTGACAGCAGTTTGTATATACAGCTTATTAATATGAAGCATGATTAGCAATGCAAGAATAACAACTGCTGTCAACTTAAAATAAACACTGATTAAATTCTCAGACCATACACTAGTTTCCCCTTCCAAAAGATTGCTTTTAATTATCCTCCAAACTCTGAAAACTAGCTGGGTGCTACTGCATAGCACTAATGAGACATTAATGAGGCATTAAAAAAAAGGGGGGGAAAAACAAAACCAGCAAAACCAAGATGAGAACTGCCATTTCCAAAAGTACAGTATATTAATATCATCTAGTTTGCTCATAGTACCAACACAATATGCTTCAAAAACTAAGCTGAATAGTGATCCCATAGGAGGTTAGTTTATGTTCCCACATAGCTCTTGACTCCTAAGACAGCAAAATACAGGTGCTTGTACCAAAAAATCAGAGTGGTTTGGTTTGGAGAGGATCTTACAGATTATCTCACTCCAATCCCCCTACCATGGACAAGGACACCTTTCACTTAATCAGGTCTCTTTGGAGACAGACTATCACAGTTGCCCAGAGAAGCTGTAGATGCCCTAACAGTTCTTATGTTCCAAAACTGTAAAACAACAGCACATAATAATTTCCAGACAGTAACTAGCTAAAAAAGGAAGGCTAAATATTACACCCTTACACTATTAAATATCAACACTAAAATTTAATATTGGTACTAATAATTGGCACTATAAATATGTAAGCTACAAAAATCTGAATGGCACATGAAATATACAAGCCATATAAATAGCACTATTAAATATATCACAAGTAGCATTAACTACTACTGAGTCAATATTACACTACTGTACTGATATAAAAAGCTTTTTACATTTTAGTAAATGTCAGGAATCATCTAAACAGGAAGTACAGGCATGAGCTGGCTCAGACATGTAGCATGGAGGCCAAGATGCACGTTAATAGCCTTTAAAGCTAGACAGAGAAATGCTTTATCTACCCAAATAAGCTGATAAGCGGGAAATATTTTTAAAGGAAATACAGTTTCTAGTGAGTAGAACCCCCTAAAGATTTTCACCTGGTTGATCCAAACACAGTGCCTTGTTTAAATACAGAGTATTATAAGATCTTTGATGATCACAGAACAGACTAAGGTACTAATGTAGTTTGTGATTATCCTACTCTGAAATTGATAGGGACACCCAGTCCCAATGTTTTCTGACTTACCCCCAGTAAAGTCTATATTTATTCATTCATGATTTATTACACTCACAAACTCAAAGTTTTCCTCATGAAAAACGCAGCTTAATGGCTCCATTACTACAGGGGCTTCTTGACTCAAGAATACTTTCACTTGCTCTGCTAAAGTGATTATTCCCAGCTTGCCTTACTGAGACAACAAGATGAAATATCGTTACACGATTACTTTGAAAAGACAGAGGTTATTGTGCAATTAAATACTGTGCTCTTGTCAACATCACTTCTGGCTCAATGCTTTCAGGCAATTACCTACCCTCTTCCACTGTTGAATCCAGCTGGGTGACTTTGACAGCAAGGCGATCAATTCTGTCTTGGAGGGAATTTGCTCTGATGTAGAAGCTGTTGGCCTCATTAAACAATTCACCAAATATGTCTTCAGCATGTTTGCCTATGTAAGAAAATAGACAAGGAAATCCCTTTTCTAGTCACTTACAAAACACAAGACAAATGGCTTCAAGATCATGAAGTATAATAAAACACAGTAGCTGTAGGATTAGAACAGTGCAGTTTGTCATTCAGCAAAATTCAGGGTAACAGATTTGCACAAAAAAGTCAATATATACCATAAATTCTGCCTGAAGTCTATTCTTCTGGACATCCTGGTTAGCAGTCTTCTTAAAAACACAGGGAGACTTACAAATTCTAATCCTTATGTAGCTGAGCTAGTGCCAACTGACAGACAACTGAGCATTAAAACCCGTCTCTGTGATGAAAAGGCCTGAAGTTACTGCAGTCAATAAAAGCTTCTGAAGTAAATCTTGAAATTAAAATCTTGCAATTCATAGTGGCACAGGCCAACATCAAAATTAAAACAGCGTTTAACAGATAAAAACAGCAGCCCACTTACCTCTACAAATGCCAACTGCAAACGTTGCTGTCCCTGGAGTCATTTGAGAGAGAGTCAGAGGCCACTGACCACATTTACCCACGCCCACACTGGACTTGGTGCACAACCTTTTCAGCTTCCCTTTCACCTGCTCTATGTTCTCAGTCACTGTGACAGTGGACAATGCAGTGCAGATCACCGAATCACAGAATCAATCTGGTTGGAAAAGACCTCTGAGATCACGGAGTCCAACCAATGTTCAAACACTATCACATCAACTAGACCATGACACCAAGTGCAACATCCAGTCTTTCCTTAAACACCTCCAAGGGATGGTGACTCCATAATCTCCTGGGCAGCCCATTCCAATTTCTAATCACACTTTCTGTGAAGAAATTCCTCCTCATGTCCAACCTAAACCTCTCCTGAAGCAGCTTAAGACTTTGTCCTCTCATCCTGTCACCTATCACCTGGGAGAAGAGGGCAACCCCCACCTACATCCTCCTTTCAGGCACTTGTAGAGAGCAATAAGGTCCCCCCAGCCTCTTTTTCTCCAGGCAAAACCCCCCCAGCTCCCTCAGCTGCTCCTCAGACTTGTGCTCCAGACCCTTAACCAGCTTTGTTGCTCCACCCTGAATCCACTCCAGCACCTCAATGTTCTTCCTGAACTGAGGGGCCCAGAACTGGACACCATACTCAAAGTGTGGCATCACCAGTGCCTAGTACAGTTTTGCAGCCTCAGGCCCTTCCCTGAAAGTGCTACAGTGGACAGAAGGTGCCACATGATAAAGCAAATCCCTTCCTGATGCACAAATCATTGTACATGGCCATTCCTCTCCCAGTCCTCCCATAGGACCAGGCACAGTCATCCATAGTTTGACTCTCTTTGTGCCCCACTCCACAACTCTCATCCACTCCAGATCAGTGGTTCCGGATCCCCAGTTTAATAACTGGCCTGCCCCAGAACTTCCCCTACAAATTTCAGATTCCACCCAAACTCATTGCTCCCACTCACTGAACTGATGGTTTGCCTACCCAGATGCTGATATTTCATTTAAGATGTCTCCCTCTACAATTTCTGCAGCCCAACCTCTTCAAGAAATCCTTGAAGAAAGAAAAGTCCTGCCTCCTGCACTTAACCATGCTTTTCAAACAAAAACAAACTTTAAAACCCTACTTCTGATTCAAGTTCATCTTGATACGACCTGCATCAAGAAGAGTCTGAAGAGCAGAAATGGAAGGGGGCAAAGTAAAACTATCTAATTAGTTGGAAGAATATGGAATATGAATTAACCACCTAAATGACAGGGACTTCCAAAGCAGCCATTATTGACATTTTAAGTTGGTCCAATAACCAACCTTAATACTTCACAAAGAAAAGTAAAAATACAATGAAAATTTCAGCTAAGATCCCATTCTGTGAACATCTGGAGATAATATATATTATACTCAGTGTAAAAAAATAGTCACACTTAGGTAGTCAACAGGACAATCTGGCCTCTTCTTGGTCACTTACCTGGAAGGGGAGAGGAAACAACAAGTAGACCAAAACATTATCTGAAAACACTGTGAATCACAAGAAAAAAAGTGATTGCCACTGAATTAAGGACTTTACCAGTAATAGTTTTCATTACTGTGTGTAAGATCAGCCAATAACTAACCCAAAATGTTAAGATATGTCAGTGTATGCAAGCTCTGCTTTATACATATATGTGGAAGGTGGGTAAGAAAGGTATGCTATCTACCTGCTCCTGATCTCCTCTCCCTCCAAAACAGAAGTCACACACAACCACAGAACAGTTGAAGTTCACAATCATCTGCTCCAATTCCCAGCTCAGAGCACAATGAGACAGGACTCTGACCAGCTGGGTTTTGAACACTTGCAAGGATGGAGGCTCCACAACTCCTCCAGGCCACCCGTGCCAGTGTTCAACTGCCTGCACACTTAAAGTGTTCTCTAAGTGTTCCCAGCATCTAGTTGAAATTTACTTATAATCCCCACTTGATTTAGTTGCTCCAAATGAAGATGTTATTCCAAGCTATGGAAAAAATAAGCTTTTCAACTCTTCAGTTAAATAAAGCAGTAATTACATTCTTCAGCCACCAGTATTCAGAGCTCAATCAATTTTAATAGATGTTAGTTTATGTTAATATATTGAAATCAGCCTGCTGAGAGAGGACTGCCACATCCTAGGATTAAACATATTACCCCCAGAGAAGTCAAGGAGATGGATATTTGTCAGTTATCTTTCAGAAGGCAAAGTGGGAGCATACTTCTTTTAATACTTGATTTTTTTTCAACACTTGCTAGCCCAGACCATGTGAAAGACAGATTGTCAATCTCCTGTCTGTGAAAACAGTGACATGGCAAAGCAGTATTGGACATGCTGTTGTGATTAACATGATGCAGGAAGTTTTAGAAATAAAATAAAACAATACTTCAAGTGTTTTTTATGTTGCCGTTGTTTAAATTAGATCTTTATTAAAACAGAAATGAACAGGAAAAAAGCATGTGTCTTCTAATTTGAGAGCTGACTTTGGCACTGTAAGACAATAATTTAAAAACAATAGGTGTTGCCCAACATGTGGCCAACCTATATATTCATTTAAAAACCCATCTAAGAAATTATGCAGTCTTTCCTTCTAAGGTTCCCTGCAACTACAGAATACAGTGATTCCACCCACCCATTTGTAACTGCATTAACTAGAAACATTAGAATCATACTTTACCCCCTTCTTTTTTTAAAGGTGCAAAAGTGGTAGGCTGTTACTGACTAGATCTTGATTCCCATCTCCTTTTTCACTGTACCTCTAGCATGATACTTAATGGCAAAAAAGCAACCTTTCCAACCCAGCCTGGTTCAGCAGCACTACAGAGAGATGTAGTGTGCTCAGGCCTGCATGAAAATTAGTGAAACTGAGCCAGTGGCCAATCTACCCAAGAAAATACTAGGAGGCAAGTTGGTGAATGCTGTTCTCTGCATGAAAAAAATGTCTTCCAAGTCTCCACAGATTATACTTCCTCCATGCTACTTAGAGGTACAGGCTGCAATAGCTCCCTGTCCTTCCCCTCCAGAAGATTCTCTCTTCCCAAGTGGAGATGAATCCCCTAGACAAGATTCTGCCTTACATAAAAGTGCACAGTTTCACAGAGAATGCTGCTCACTCTGCCTGTGCTCTGAGCCAGCTGGCTGGAAATGAACCCAAATCTGAAAACATAATACAGAAAAGGCTCTCCTGAGAGCACATTCCCTTTGGATAGGAACTCGTTCATGTCTCCCAAAAAGAGCAGAGGCAGAAGCACGCCAAGCTTGTATGCAACAGTACAGACCTGCCAGTTTTCAAAATCCACACTGAACTCACAGCGCAACATTAAAAAATCAGTGTGACTGCAAGATAGACCTGAACTTGCTTGCTCTATGCCTCAAGCTGTGAGAACACCAACCAGCTCTGATGCAGTCAGCAGGACACACTACTTCAGCTCCAGCACAGCATTTTTCTGTGATCATTTCCTTGCTCCCAGTTGGCTCAAAAGACAGGCAAAGCAAATGCTGTCTGCAGAAAAATCCTCTGCAAACGTGACATATTTCAGACTGTGCATGAGAATGGTGGTACATTTCACTTGTTAAATACCACATATTCATCTGTTAAGACTAAGGACACATCATTTATTTGCATAGATCTTTAACTTGACACTACCAGAACTTTAGGGGCTATCTACAAAGACTTCAGATGAAATTCGCTAAGGGAAAACTGCCGGATATGAATATAAGTAGTCAGTTCCTCAACAACAATCATAAGAGGATCTAAATACATTGTATAACAGATTAGCCCCAAGACCAAATCTGGATAAATGAAAGCTGTACACATTCCAAGCAAGTCAGACAAGTAAAAAGTGCATTATCCACACTTGGACAATAATAGCACAACACCAAAATGAGGTCTTATCATTCAAAATGAGGTCTCCTTCAGTACAATTAGAATATTAGCCATTCTCACCTTTCTGAAACTTAAGGATGGCACTACTAAGCAACTGTCTGAGAAAACAGAAGATGAAACTCAATGACAATGCAAACACAAAGTAACTCTAAATAACATCAGACACTAAATCGTCAGCTGCTGTTCAAGAAAGATCAGAGGATCACTTGCAAGCTTATCTGAAAATAATAATTCAACACTTAGTAACAATCAAAATTCTACAAATTCCTAGGGCAATAATGGTAAAACAGAAGTCTGTTTTGAATATGATCTGAAGTCCTCAACACTCCACCTTAAAAAACCCACAACATACCCTAACTTACATATCCAAAGCAAAAATAACAGTGATCAGAAATACAAAATGGTTTCTGTTCAAAAAGATCACTTACAGATCAGGACACTTCAACCTGGGAAAGATATCACCAGGAGAAGAGGATAAAGACTTAAAATCACAAATCATGATGGAAATGCACAAGATGAAAGCACCTTTCATTATCTTTCATCACACTAGAATGAGAAGGTATCAAAAAAAAGAAACAGGTCAACTTTCATTGTGGGACATTGTGCCAAAAGTCATTGGTGAAGAAGAAGGTGCAATCCCTATTTCAACATATCTAAGCAATACCACAGATGATAGTTTTACAAATGCTCATTACATAGGATGATTCAGATGGACCTCCAGCTCAGAAAAATCCCTAAATCCCTGACTACTGCAAAGAGGAAATGCTGTGTCTCTTGTCCTCTTTCTCTAAGCAAAGACTTTTTCCTATCATCATGAACTGAACACCAGTGGGCCCCATAGTCTGAGCTCCACACAGACTCTCAGTTTGAAAACCACGTCCATTTACAAAGAGAAGCAACTGATGAAGCAGTAATTTCTTTTCTAGGAGCAGCGTTATCAGCACAAACAACAGCTGCTGATTGTTAAAGACTGTCTGAAAAACATCTCTTATCCCTTTCATCAAAAACATTGTGCATCTTGCAAACACTCCAGTCATGCTTCTAGAATTGCTAGTGGCGGTGTCACCTGACAGGTGTGGTGTGTAGGCTACTCGGTACAGAGCTGATGTTAGCCTGCCTTAACAGTAGCCTGCTCAGCAAATGGCATCCTTTCAATGTGCCTAATTTCATTCATATGAATTGAGCACACATATATATAAAAGAGAAGGCTTAAGAAATACTAGCACACTACAAAAAACTAAAATTTCAGTCAAATGTGTCATTTGATTCCAAGAGGCAGAAGAGCTTGCAGGCTCAATCCAGTAGAACTCAGATGCTGGTCTTGTTTCTTGCACTAATTTCTCTCACCTTAGAAAATTTTCTGGTCCTCTATGCTCCGGTCTTTTGGTTGGGGTTTTTCTTGGTAGTGGTTTTTTCTCCCTGCTTGTTTGGTTTTTTGTTAATTTGTTTTTTGGAGTGGGATTTGGGGGTGGAGGGAGGGTTGGGGTTTTTAATACACTTCAAAATATAGAAGAGCATAAAGACAATTATTATTATAGCATATTATTACAATACATAAATGGTACTGTCCCATACCATACTTATGCAATTTAAAACAATCCATCTCAAAGCTTTTCATCATTAATCAAATACTTGCAGGAAGTTACAGATACTTACTTAAGCTGCTTAGCTGGCGTATGATAGCAGCAAGGGTGCTATTTGTTACACATTCCAGTTCACTTGTAATTCCCTCTGGCAGAGCTCCTCGGCAGAGATGCCGTGGTTCAATGTTCCTTTTCACCAAAGGCATGGCTCACAATCTGGAATTTACAAACAAATACATATGACATTTACAAAAATGAAATTAAGAGCTCTGAATCAGTGTAGCACACATTCAGGCTTTTTTTCTCCAAAAAAGTACTTCACCTTTCTTCTTTAAAAGCCTTGCTTCAGCCTTCCCACTGTAAGATACTGTACAATTCCTACCAGGGCACCAGAGCTGTCCACTCCTGCCAGAATATGACAGGAGCATGCAGAGCAGCAGAGAGCAAAGGCAATATAGGCAATGTAGGCTTTTTGCCTCAGATTTGGCGTAAGATTTACTGTATGCACAGACTTGTGCTGCAGTTCCAGAATCACTGGACTTGAGTGCACATTTGCATTTAGAAAAAACTGGCAGTCCCCACAGGAGTGGCAGGAAAGGTCACTGTCTGGAGCAGGCTGGCATCCTGTCTTGGCAAGCTGGCCACCAACAGACCGAGCAAGCACCACAGCCCCCAGTGACGTCAGACACCGACCTACCCCAGCCCCGACAGTTTCCAGCAAAAATGATAAATTCATCTGGCACATAAGGGCAAGTGCCTCTCAGAATTAGACTGCATGAGGAAGAAGATGGTTTTCCACAGGGGGAGCTATATGGCATTCTGAATGGGATAAGGGCATTCACTGGACAGCTTTTGGGAACATGCCAGATGCAGGAAGACATTTATCTGAGAAAACTAAGGTTGTCAGAACTGGTTTTCTTGGAAAAATGAAATAAATGAGGATGGTGTCTTGGCTCCAGCCCAGACCAAGGGGAGGGTCCAGAAGATTGTGTTATTTGATACCATCTCATATCATTGCCAGGGGCAGGAAAAGGGATTCCTCTCTCATTTCCAAGAAGCAGTGCATTCCTCTACAGTCAGGAACAACCTGGCTTCTGTCAAGTCAGGCTCTGCATTTTTTGAGCATTTTTGCACGTGAATCATTCTCTCTTTTTATATGCTTATTAATATTGCTGCTGCTAGTTTGTTTTCATATCTCATTGCTGTTTCCAGTAAATTGTTCTTATCTCAGGCTGTGATCTTTGCCTTTTGTGCATCCAGTTCTCCTCTCTGGCCACCCTGAGGGCTGAGGGAAAGAAGAGGGGGAGAAGGGGAGCAAGTGGGTGAGTGTGGTTTGGAAAGTCTCGAGGGGAGAACTAAAGTGTGGAGTACCATTCCGAAACCACAACAGATGGGGAAAAAAAACACAAAAAGAGATCTGAAAGCATCACAAAAGGGCACAATGGCATAGAAAACACTGTCCTGCAGAGAGCAGCTTTGAGAGCAAGGATGCCCAAGTGAGACAGAATTCACCCAAGAGGGAAGCGATATAAAACAAAAACATCTAAAGCAGTTTTCTTTAAAACTATAGTTAATTCAATGTCCATGTACTACTCATGAATAATATTCGGTTTTAAAACCATGTGGCATGGAAATTTTCTGGAACAAGAAGTTACATTATTACCAAGGACACAGTTCATTTGGGAAAGACTTAGCTGAAAATTTCTTTTTTACTGTACTAAAGCAATTAAAGTAGCCTTTCAATTTCTCTAAATAAAATTAAAAATAATTAATTTCTCTAATTAGTAAATTAAAAAATCCTTTTGCCTTTCAAATGTTGCACAGTAATTTTTGTAATTACTTCCGCCTGAAAATTTAAAATATTTTATTCTCGAAAACATTTCTAAAAGCTTAAAAGCCTTAATGAACAAAAAGAAACTATTTAACTGTAAGACTATTTCATAACAAGTCAGGAAGGAACAAACTCATGACTCCTAAGCAGCAGTCTTGAATTATATTGTACGCCTTTCTTAATATGAGACAATTTGAATATGTCAGAATTTAAGGTTAGCTGAGTTTGCTAAATTTTACACAGCACATCAGAGGTAACAGAGGAACAATTTCTGTATTTGATTAAAAAACCTTCCTGTTTCTACTCTATGTTTTTGTATCCCTCTACAAACATATATATTTCAAAATACTACTTCATACCCATTGCAGACATTTTTCTGAACTTGATCAAAAATAAGTCAAAACTGGAAATTCGCTATTACTGAAGAGCAACATCTAGCACCAACACTCTGCAAGCAGGCTAGTGCACTGGAGCTACAAAATAGGAATAATTATGAGGAATTATTCCACTCTAATGGAAATGCTACAGTGAAAATGCATTTCATATAAACATAATTTGTAAGAAATAAATCAAAAGGAGCACAAAGTAGTGCTAAATTCATTATATGATGAGGCCTGTTTTTCCCATGGCTTTCTGTCCAGCACTCTCAGCGCTGCCCCATGCCCTTGCCTTTTGCAGCTCATCCACCTCCCTCACGAGCCCACACAGCCCTCTGGCCCAGCTGGAAGCTGGCTGAGCACTGCCCAGCTAATCACCTCTACCTCTTGAAACACCTACCACACTGAGTACAATCAGAATGCCTTCCACCAGGAGCTCTTATTAAAGTCTCTTCTCCACATAATGTTCCTTTTTGCCTGTAAAAGCTAATTTGAAGAAAACATGCAACTGCAGTTTGAGCTTTTTGTTTTCTTGTCACTTACTGGCGAAATGGTCCAGTGTGTTCAAGAGCTACCAGGGGAGTGACAGACCAACACCAGAACTCCCATTTCTCTAAAGAGCAGGCTAAAGCACACACCAGGGCTGAGGGTAGGGGAAAATAAACAACTTTCATATTTGAATGCATGATTTAAATTATTATGTAGCAATCTCATTTCAGTTTGAAGTTTAATTTCAAAAGATAAACTGAACACCAATGAGTAAATATATGCAACAAATTAAGCAATCCACTACCTGCTCTTAATCAGAGGGAAAAAAAAAGAACTCTGCAACTGCAATAAATTTCTTCTAATTTAAACCCTTTACCTAAATGAATTAAACACTATAGACCTATTTAGATATTAACCCATTACTAAGTAAAAAGCTTGTGTCCTTACTACTAAAGCACAACCACCTTTTTCTTCACCACACACAACTCAGATGAACTTAATCCTTTTTAAAGAAAATGCATGAGAAGTGAGGCTAAATTCATTTCAAAATCTATATAGCAAGAAGTTAGACGAGGAATCAAGACAAAACAGGCCTCTGAATTACAGGATCTTCCTTCATAAGACACAACCAGGCTGAAGGGAATGTGTTACCAGGAGCAGAAACCAAGAATTTGCAATGGCAATTCCATTGCCTTCCACATTCATCTTCCACCTGTTTTGAGTCACACTCAGTCCCAGGTTCTTTCTAGACAAGAAATACACTGTGATGCCACTGTATTAAATACACTGGCATTTAGAAATCATATTTAATTTTGCAGTAGAAAGGTTTAATAACTTCCCTTCTGCCATGGTTTAAACCCTAGCCAAGAGGCAAGCCTCCCAGAGAGTTGCTCTCTGTCCCCCACCAGCTGGATTCGGGAGAGAATCAAGGGAGTAAAAGATAGAAAACTCATAGGTTGAGATAAAAACAGTTTAATAGGGAAAGCAAAAGCTGCCCATGCAAGAAAAGCACATCAAGGAATTAATTCACTGCTTCCCACAGGCAGGCAGGTGTTCAGCCATCTACAGAGGGCTCCATCACACATCATGGTGATGTGGGAAGTCAAAGTACTGCACCATCACTCCAGACATTCCCCCTTCTTCCTCCTTCTTCTCCTCACTTTATCCACTGAGCATGATGTCACATGGTCTGGAATACTCCCACGGTCATTTTGGGTTGCCTGTCCCAGCTGTGTCTCGTCCCAAATCTCCGAAGCACCCCAGTGTTCTCCTTGACAATGTCAAAGTACAATAAGCAAAATAGGCTGTGGCTCTGTGTAAGCCCTGCTCAGCAATAGCACCTCTAATTCATCAACCCTGGGTTGAGCACAAATCTGAAACACAGCTCCCTGCTAGCCCCTGTGAAAAAAAATAACTCTACCCCAGCCAAAAACAGAACACCTTCCATCAACAAATAACTGAAAAATCTAATGCAAATAAATTAATATTTTCAAAAATTATGTCAGTGGAGTAGATTGGCCCCAATCCTAAATTGGTAATTTTTTTACTCATTTTACCCAGGTAAGTACACAATGAAACCAAAGACTTATAATTTGGATAAAGGGGTTCATCTCCACTGTGAGGTCATCTATGCCTGACAGCTGCCTTTAAGCCATCAGCTGCATCAAGCAGAAGAGAGGAAGACTCTAGAAAGATGCTCTGTTGCATATGTACAGCTGGCTGAAGTGGAAATGTATGACACATTAGTGTCAGACCAGAAAAACCAGAGGAGTCAAAAGGGGAGAGAGGAAAACTAAGAGGGCGAGATGTCGCTTAACATCTCACTAAACCCATGCGTGCCTCACTGGACATGGATCAGATTCGACATCTGGCTGGACTGAACTCCGACTGCAGTACAAACGGACACTGCTCTCCAAACCCTCCAGGCATCAGCAACTCGATTTCCACACACATTCTAAAAGGACAGGACGTCAAAAGCTTCAATTAGCTTAGATCAACCCTTTAAAATTCAGATTTTGCATGCTTCCTCCATATTCTCACCTCCCCTCCCATAAAAACTTGCATAACAACTCCATAACAACTTGTCTTTTGTCTTACAATTAAAAGGCATTTATCCCAGTATTCACTGCTGCAGAGGCAAGTGTGCTATGGAAAGACTTAATCAAAGCATTTTTGCTTTTCTTTGCATGCTTCCCCCGCAGCCACAGAAGTACCACTCCAGGTCACCTCAGACTGCCTTCCCCTGGACAGCAGCTGCTAAACTGCTTGCAAGAAGTCTGACACTGCCTTGGCAAGCCAGATTCTTAAAAAATCATGTAGAGAGCAGATGTACAGAACAAACTTGAAAGATGACAAACACCATGTGCAATCTTTCCAAACAACAGCAGAGCACAGCTATTACAAGAGACAAGATGAATTTTTCAAATATTTGAGCTACTGGCAAAAACTCGAAGTACCAGTTGTTCCCCAAACCTGCCTTTTGTCCTTTCACATCCCCCAAAAAGCACTGCAATTTACAT